TTTTAGTTTCTTGCAAATTATAATGAAGAAGTCAAAAAAGTTACATTTGAAAATGATAATGCTAATTAAAATTGATTGCACCAAAAGTCCAAAAAGAGATTTGTGCCTCTATTTCTGCTGAGACCTTGGCTATAATCATGAATGATATTGGTGATTCATACTTTACCATTCTAGTTGATGAATCTCGCGATGTATCTACGAAAGAACAGTTAGCTATTGTGGTGAGATACGTAGATAAGTTGGGCCAAGTAATTGAGAGGTTCATTGGTGTTATTCATGTTACTTCAACAAATGCAATAACACTCAAGACAGCAGTTGAAGCACTTCTTGCAAAACATTCGTTAAGTTTACATACAATACGGGGACAAGGTTATGATGGAGCATCTAATATGCGAGGAGAGTTCAATTGTTTGAAAGCACTAATTCTAAAAGATAATCCTCAAGCATTCTATATTCATTGTTTTGCACATCAACTCCAATTATGTTTGGAGGCTGTTGCAAAAAATCATTGGAAAGTAAAACATTTATTTGAGATGACTTCAAGAATTGTAAACACTGTTGGAGCTTCATGCAAGAGGAATGATACACTAAAAACTATTCAGCATGATAAAATACTTTTTCATTTAAGCAGTGGATAGTTAAGTAGTGGTCGAGGTTTGAACCAAGAAACCAATTTGCATCGTGCTGGTGACACCCGCTGGAATTCACATTTCCAAACATTAATAAGTCTAACAAAAATGTATGCTTCTGTACTTGAAGTGCTAGAAATTGTGAAGGAAGAGGGTATACATGATCAACAATTAGTTGAAGCTGATGTTTTAATAAATGCCATGGAATCTTTTAACTTTGTCTTGACACTGCATTTGATGATTGACATTTTAGGGATTACAAATGAATTGTCACAAGCATTACAAAGAAAAGATCAAGATATTTTAAATGCAATGAAATTGGTACAAGTGTCCAAGCAACGATTGCAAATGATAAGGGAAAATGGATGAGTGCCTTTACTTGAAGAAGTGTCACGTTTTTGTAATGTTTTTGAAATTGTTGTTCCCAATATGGATTCTAAATTCAAGGCACGTGGACGGTCTGTACGAATATGTGAAGAAATTACGAACTTTCATCATTATCGAGTAGATTTATTATACGCAGTTATTGATATGCAATTTCAGGAATTGAATAACCGATTCACAGAAAGTAGCACCGAGTTACTTCATTGTGTGACATGTCTAAATCCGAGTAATATGTTTTCTGCTTATGATAAGGGAAAATTAATTCGTCTTGCAGAATTATATCCAACAGATTTCTCTATGATTGATCTTGTGTCTCTTGAGCATCAGCTATCTACTTATATTGTTGATATGCGTACTAGCGAGGAGTTTACATCTTTAACTAGCATTGGTGCTCTAGCAAAACAGATGGTAAAGGATAAGAAAAATGTTGTGTATCACTTGGTTTATAAACATATTATTTTGGCACTAATGTTATCAGTTGCTACTTCTACGGTGGAGAGAGTATTTTCTGCAATGAAGATCATTAAGCATCGACTTCGTAGCAAAATGGGTGATGTCTGGCTTAATGACTGTCTAGTGTCATATATTGAAAAAGAAATATTTGATTCTGTTCCGAATGAAGTCATTATGCAACATTATCAGAAAATGCAAAGTAGAATGCAAAGTCTGTAATTTTCTTTTTATTTCAAAAATTATGACGAAATGTAATGTTTTGCTTTGAGTTTTGCTAGTGAAATATATCTATATTTTTTGCATTTATATTTTTATATATATCGAGTTTGCCCACCCTAAAAAAAAAGGGCTGGATTAGCCACTGACCTCTCTTGTTATAATTTTGTTTATATTTGAGCACAACATTGGGATTAAAATTATTGTCATGAACCTTGTAGACTCTACTACTTGTTTGCAGAGGACCAAGGGCTTAGAAGTTTTTTAGAATATAGACATTGTTGACTTTGCTTTCTCCCTTTTTGAGGATTGAGTCTAGGTGAATTGATGCATATCAAAGCTCTTAAGGTACTAAGAACAAAGTGATGCGCAAAAGTCTTTTTATGCTTCAATGCACAAAGAGCAAAGCAAAATAGTGATTTTACTAATTAAAGCGTTCATGCGTTTTATATCATATATTTATGTATTATGCATATAAAATAATTAATTAATGAACTAAATTTAAACCACATAAGGTAATAGTTTTTCAGCAAATATAATAATAAATTTAATAATAGTAATTTCTAGCTATTCGAAGACAACAAAAGGACTAAAAAGAATAAATAATAATAATGAATTAATGTAAGAATACTTTAAAATCAAGAATATACACATTAGATTGAGTGACAACCTATAGATAACAAGGCAAAGGCAGCGTGAAGTAGAAAGTGTGAAAAATGAGACAATGAGAAGTATTCTCAAAAAGTTTGTGTGCAAGAAATTGCTGATGCTGAAGAAAAAAACTAATGAAAAGCTTATAAAAACTAGCATAGAAGCGAGCTTGAAGAGACAAACCACTAAGAAGGGACTAGTTCTAGCATGAAAAAATGTAGAACCAATGATCAATGACTCAACGACTATGAGAAATAGTGAGGAGAAGCACACGAGCATATTATTAATTATTGGCAATTATTGAACATAACTATAAAATTTGAACTTGGATTTCGCTCTAAACAGGAGCAGAGTGCATAATGCTACCACCTAATGCGGAAAAGCAGTGCGATAAGCATGCTTTATTATGAGCTTTTGCTTCAAGCAAGAACCACACAGGGCCAATATCACTTTGCTTCACTCTTTAGGCATGTTTTTTGTAAAATTTCCAATTTTTAAAAAGGGTAAAAGTCCCAAATTTAATTTACCGGATTTTTCACATTAAAATCAAGCATAATAATAAATATAGAATTAGCTATATTCAATATAGCACATATTACACATGGTGCGCTATTTAATTTCCTTTTTTTTGGGTTCTTTTTGGTTGATTGTTTTAATTTAATAACTTTCACAAAAAAATAAACTTTTTAGAGCTTGGACATAATATAATGAATGTTTTTGTTTCTATGTTCAACTCTCAAGAAAGTGTACTTGTTCTACTATTTGATTAAAGCGATGACATATTTATAAGAAGTAAAAATCTTTTATCTTCCTTTATATGTAGGGTTTTAGCCAATAATGTTTAAGCCTTATATGACAATCTATCAGGCGAAGCTAACATAATAACTACACAATTATCTTTATTATTTTTTGATGATGTGAAAGGCTATATATTGTTGTGATACACTAATTAGAGATGTCTCTACCCTTAAGCTTAACTTATTATGTCCGTTTCTAATTTTTCTCTTTTTTTAATCAATAAAAGAGTAAATGCACTTTTCCATATAATCTTTATTTAGACAATAGATATCTTCCCTGTATCTTTTACTATATCTTTTTTATGAGCCATATAAATATTTAATAATCACCCAAAGCTTTCCCTCAAACTAAAAAACATTGCCTATTCTTATCTGATCATGTTTTACTCTCTGACTTATAGATGAGTACTTAGAAAATAACTTTAAAAGTGTAAGTATAATCAAATATAACAGAGAGACTATGACATCATATTCAAAGTTTAGCAAATTCTATGCTAAAATTTTAATTAAGTATAATTGTTAACGAGCCTAATATTTATCCATATACTTCTCTTTCTTTTCTAAACTCTATTTACAATGAATAAAGCAAAGAAATTAGAACGTGGGCATATAAAAATACATCATTATCAATGAATCAATTTGATTTTATGCTTGAAATTTAACTAACAAGGCGATTCTTGTAATAAGGTAATTATAAATATAATAATAAAATGATCCTTATATGGTGTGCGTTGATCTTAAAGAGCCGTATGATCAAATACCACAAGAATAAATTCAATACGTGATAAAAAAGGTGGTTTGATAGACAAAACATGATGAAATGTCAACTAGTATTTGAAGTGGATTGATAGACTAAAAAGTTTTCAATTACTATAAAATTACATCAAAGATATAGTTTAATAAGTAAGAACTCTTTTGAAGGGAAAGTAAAAACAATTAAGGAATTTTTCACAAGCTAGAGCACTCGAGGTTAGTGGAATAAAAAGTTGATATGTAATTTTAATGGATGTAAAATAGATCATTATCACTAAATGTTATTAGAAGGAAAGTGTAGCGCCTACAAAATTGATAATTATCAATAAATATTATCAGAATATATACCTAAGTGTGATGGGTTTAAGTATCTTGAATCTTTTATATATAAAGAATGTCATACAGTAGGATATAATTAAATGATGACAAACTTTTGAGAAAAATGATGAATGGTTAAAATGTATAAGTACTTTAGAATGAAGGGATGAGAGAATATTCGGGAGACGAAATAAATATTGTGAAATAAAAAACAACAAGCCTATCACAGTAAAAAAAAGTGTTTTGATAATCAAATCGAGTACGACTTGAGATGAGAATTTGAGATGGATGAATGACAAAATAATTGAGGATATAGAAACAAATAATTATATAAAAGGAATGATAGGAGTAACATTTTTAAAAGATAAGATAAATTAAAATGAAAAGGATGTGTCAATAGAAGATACAACAATAAGTTAAGTGGATTTTATTAATGTGAAATGATTAAATAAGAAAAGGGATAGACCAAACAATACATGGATAAAAATAGAGCTAAAGATGCCCAAAATTGAGTTAGCAACTCGTAGAACTAAACATGAATGAATGGTGATGAGGATTTATAAATCTTTCAACAAAAAATTGGGTAAGGCTAACATGAAAATGATAAGTCTATTAGTATGCATTTCACGTTCAAGAAGATGTATTAAGAAATTAGTAAATCTCTTTCAAATAGATATCAAAGTTTTTTTTTTTTTTTTTTTTTTTGCCCTATATTGTCAAATGAAAGTATCACATAAAACAAAAACGCAAACTTCTTCAATAATCTAGTAACAGTGCAAAAATGATGGAAATAACTTACTTTGTAATGGTACCATCAACATCAGAAATAACTATCCGTGCATTCCACTTCCACAAGTAAATATGCGCATCAACCTGTTTTAGAAGTCGAATAAGAAAAGATGATTTGAATGATAAAAACTATTCTTCTACATAAATAGACCATAACCTGCTGTTTCCCTAGAACTCTGGTCGAGAAACTAAAGGCTACCATGTTTTGTCCATCCTTCAAATTCAAAGATGCAATCTGCCCGGTCGTTGGGATGTATGTGCGGAGGTGTTGCTTGCGGGGTGACGGATGACTATCAGAAATGGGGCTTTGCTCCGCATGCGGATTCTGCCAGCTAGGTTCTGTATCAACAAAAAGATCTTCATTTGAAGAATCACCATTGGTGAGTTGAAGTGTTCTGCTCCTCCTAAATGGTATTGGCCACAATCTCCATCTCCGACTAGAACTGGAAGAAAGTGAAGCTCCTTGTAAGTCTTCTCTAGTACTTGTCATTTCCTTAAGATCGACAAGAATTTGATCCTTTATGTCGCATGAGAAACCTGAACCATATACAGCCTTGCCAACAACTAAATTAGCAGCTTTATCCCAAGGCAAGTACATCTCTTTGTATCGGACTATGAGGTTTCCATTGTTAACTATGGATTGTCCTGAAGTCTTAAACTCATCCTCTGAGATACGATGGGCATCAAAGGTTTCTTCTGCAGCAACACGGCCCATTCCAGGCCGTATTAAGTTTCCACAAAGTGAAATCTCAAAACCTATGAATTATAAAGGATTGAACCACAAAATAGTATTCATACGCCAAACAATGAAAAAATGTGTACCCCTAACTAAATATAAAAATACATTTAGTTACCTAAGCCTGATATGTTGCTCTGAAGTCCTTGATCATCAGTTTTATTTATGTCAACTTTAGTGGCTGATATCACGCGCCTTTCACTCACACATTCTAGACCAATTCTCAAGTTATTAACTGGAGCTTGAACTGAACTTTCTTGTGTCATATCATCAGTAGCCAGGCTCTTTTCAGATGCCTCTCCCGATGTCAATGTCTGGTCACATGGCATATCCACGTTACATGGAGCTACATCTGAGACTATTTGATCTTCATTCTGCTTGGAACCATAATTCATATTGTTTTCTAGATCATTCAACTCCACATTTGAAGAAGATGATAAATCAATTCCATTGTCCCTAGTTGACGCATCTTTGACCATTATGGTGTTGAAAGAAGAGGAAACAGATGAGTTTTTTGAGTTATCTTTTGTTTCTGAATCCTGGGAATCAGTGCCAATGTCTTGTAACTCACTGTCCTGGACGTGTAAAGTCAGATCAAGGCAGATTTTGAACATTTCTTCTTTATCAATTTTGGCAGCAATATCTTCTGAATTGTTGCTCAACTCAAGGTTAACAATACTTTGAATGTGTTCACCATGAAATGAAACTCCTTTGCAAACTTTAGGAACCTCTATAGGATTCTCCGAAGCATCATTCTCCTTACATCGTGATTCCATATCGACATACAAACCATTTTCCCACATATCACCTTCGGAACCAAATTCCTCTCCAGGTCCTTCCCCAGGACCTAGGTGGAATTGTGGGTTATCCAATGGAAGATTTTCCATATTCTCATCACTGGCTGAAATAGGTGCGGTTAGAACATGTCCATCCACACTGATAAGAACCATCTCAGAATTAGCATCATTGGATGATTCCACTACATCCTCCACTTCTTCTAAATTACCGTAATTGTAGCTGTTGAACCTGTTTGATATGGAAGTAGTCCCAATGGTGGCTTGCTCATCTTCACGTAACTGTATATCTTCTTGCTCCCTATTTTCATTTAGATCACCCATATAATCCTCAAAATTCTCACCGTGGCTAGATTTTGGATGCATCGGCTTATTCTCCTGATGACTAGACTCATTTAAAGCTTGATCGCTTGATTCTTCATCATTAGTTCCAGACACAACTTCTTTCAGGAAATAGGCCTCTCCTGAAGAGTCAAGATACATGTGAAAACTTGCCTCATCTCCATTTACTGCAATAGTAACAACCTTCTCAGCACCTTTGAGAACACCCTGAAATTTCCCAAACCGCACATACCATGGTGTACTGCGATAGGTTCCATCCTCTTGCTCAACCACAATAATATCCACTGCACCACCGAAAGGGTGGAAAGGGGTTGCCACAGAATATACACCCTGAGAGATTATACTCCCCACTCTACCTACCACATTCATCTTTAAAGAAAAGCCCAGAATCCTACAAGAACCACAGCTGATAATGTTCCCCTTTCCAAGTGTCAGATCAGTTTTTCATCAATTTTTCAGTTCGATTAATGAACTCTGACTACAGCATAATCAAATAGCTACCGAAAACATGATTTCACAAACTTCTTGCCAGCGAATGAGTACTAATTCGAGTTCCACTTCACCGGTTATTCTGCCAAAGCAATGAGAAATTTATTTTGATAATTTTCAAAGACCTAGTTCTGAATATTTGCCCACTGGGGCACAAAGCACAAACCATGCTGACTAGAGACATTAAAATATATTTTAAATTACGAAGAAGTTTGCCTTTCAAATAGCACCAAACAGGGAAAGAATAACATCTAGATAGATTTCTTGGTTTTTTTTTTTTTTTCTCGCCCCCGCGATTTGGTGACCTTTCTCATTCTATGGGGTGCAGGGAAAGAAAAACAAAGACAGAATCACCGCAAGCCCAGGTGAACCAACAAGAAACATAAATGGAAACCCTAGCAAAACGCCTGCAACCGATCACATCAAATACTAGAGAAAACGGAATGAAACGCCGAAAACCACAAAAATCTCTTAAAAACCAACAATAAATAACAAAAAGCATAAATTTTCAGAACTTCCGCAAAGAATCGAAAGCCCCTTCTCCAAATTCCTTCAAAATAGCACGAGGAACATGGAATCGATGGACAGAAGCAGAGGAGCTCACACCTAACAGCTGAAGAAATCTAGATCACGGAGAAGTAGAAAACCGGGAGGCAGAGGGAGACTCCCCGTCTTTCTACCTTCTCTGGACTGATGCCGATGCCTGCCACCACCGCCGGCGACGAAAAAATTGCGAAACGCAAGTCCCGAGTTAAGACGCCAGGCGAACATCATTTTATAGTTATTCGTCCATCGCAATAAAATGATGAAGAACACACTTTTTAATTAGTATATTTACTAAACAGCCCTCATTGGACTAAGTTCAATTTTTATTAACTTTTATAGTTAAGGGTGTTTTCGGAATTTAGTGCTAAGCCGGAGAGAGAATTTTTCGGTGGAAAAGTTGCTTGTTTGCGAGTAGGGTCACCGACGCAGAAGGGTATGTATTTCCTACCGGCCGTAGGCAGTACCGACCAAATTAGCTGGCGTGCCTGAATGAACTTTTGGTGATCGTACCAAGCACGTTTATCATGGCATAATTTCTGAAATTTAATTATTTTTATTAAAAAAAGACTTCCAAATCCATGGTTATTAAACACATAATGAGTCCATCCGGTTCAACCGATTGAATCAGGAATCGGCCTGCTAACTAATTTATTTCTGCTGATCAGGAAAAATCTATCAGACCATCATTTGAACCGCGAAACTAACAAACTTGCTGAATTTAAAAGAACCTTCATGTTCAAAACAAGTGTAATGTCAGTTGTTGATTACAAAACGAATGGTCAAAATCAATCAGATGTTTGGATCGTATATGTGATATCTCGGATTCTAATTTGGAAGAATTATTCATTTATCTTTTAATAACAACAAGTATAGTAATCTAATATCATCTATCAGTAATAAACATGAAAACATATTCTATAATTCAAAACATCAATATATACATCTATATTCATTTCCAAAAATTATATACACTTCTCAGGATCTACATAATCATATCACAACTATTATGTCTTAAGTACAAAAGAATAGCTAAAATAAAAACAAAAAAACAAAACATGAAGAATCCAGACCAGCCTCATAATTCTGATCCTCTGCGCTGACATGAAATTATTTAATCATATATAATGAGTTCAAAAGCCTAGTAGGTCATCAAAATTTATAACTAAATTCAAAGCATTGTAAATGAATAATATGCATATCAACAGTCAAATTATAGCAATAGAATTTATATGATCATTGAATAAGTGCTTAAATAGTAAAATTCATATGAAGTAGTAGTAGAATCCACTAAGGTACGGAAGCTTGTAAAATAGTAAACCAGTATGACTGTCAAATTTATGAAGCACTTATCTGTAATACCAATCAGTATAGAAATTGGATAAATCATCAAATCAAAACATCAGTAAAGGCTGTTAAAATCAAATCAATGTAGTAAAATCATATAAAAATGTACACATGCTATCTAATTATTTTATATTAGCATTAAATCACATGCTCAATATACTATATATATCATATGTTCAATGAAAATAACATACTTTATGTATCAATAAATCAATAACAATGTTAATAATAAATCCGTACAATAATATGAAAATACATCAATAACATTTATTTTAGTAGTCATATTAAACAAGTACGAAGTCCTGGCTATCATGGTATTTTTTTAGTATTGTATCATTATTAGTAAATCGTTGGTTCAGTAACAGAGTCGTTAATCTTTATCCGTCGACACTGTAATTATCTTCTTATAACTCTCAATCAGTATCACGTGAATCAATAGAGGATAATACGAAATCACAATATTTAAAGGAAAGCTCGTCGGGCCACCATCCTGTATAGGTCAATTAATTCTCAACAAACAAGTTAACTAGTATTTACTTATATTTTACACACACATTATTATCACAACACTATAACAGTAATCTCCATCACATATTTATTGTTATTTCAAATATATTGCAGCAAATAATACACAATTGAGCTTAATTTTGAAAATATCAAAATGTCATAATGGTAGACAACAAAAATCATACTAAGCAAAAATTCACATTTTTAGAATTTAATCAAATTATCAAATATTACATAAAATAACTTTCTTAATCTTTAGTTGAACTAGATTACTATTTTTAGATGTCAAAATAAATTTCTATGTATGAAAAAATCATTGTATTTTTAAAATCACTTGGTAAAAAATCTCAAATAAATACTCAAATCGTTCAAATATATCTCACTCTCTATAACATATAAAAAATTAAACGATGAAAGTTCTATCAATACAAAATTATCATCATTGTTCACTTTCTACTACATTCTTTTTCACCACAAGCTAATTGCATTGTCTCGCTCGCCACCACCGCCAACCTCCTGCTTCCTGCCTTTACCACCACCTTCGACCACCAAAATAGTTGTTGGCTGTCGCCAACCACCATTGCCACCTACCAAAGATCACCACTGCTAGTCTTCGGCAGTTGGAGCAACCGCTGGTCGTCACTGCCGGCCACCATCATCATTTGACTTTCTATTGCATTCATTTTACTTTAAAAAAAAAAATCTTTGATTGTTTTTACACTTATTCAAATAACTTCAAATATTTTAAATGCACAATATTTTTTTTTACAAAGCATTCCTTTTTTTAACAAACTAAACAACCCTAAAGCAAAATACTTTACAAAAATATGACTTATGTTCTAAACATGAACATGGCTATGAATTGATTGCATGGTATGGGTAGTATGTTTATAGTTCATATATTCCTAACGATATTGATAATACGTGCAGTCCAGTCTTCAAGATCTAGGCAGCATGTACAGTTAATGCTAAAAAATTTGTAATTATTTTATTAAGCTAACCTACTTTTCTTCTTAGACCATTTTCTTCTTAGACCATTTATAGTTGTTGGATGTAATATAATCGTTGGAGGTTCTCTAGCTAAGAGCAAGCCATTTGACATTATCAAATATGGAACCATATGGACGGTCTTGAAAATGAGATTTTGTATATATGATTGGTCTGCTGATTGATCATTTGTACCTGCATTCCTTTATGAAAACGAAACGCCACATGAATGGTTACTTGAACTTCTATATGGATCACTTGAAAATGAATTATTATAAATGTGCTCATTAGCAACATGAATACCTCCCATTTTGTCCTTATTATGCCTTTGTTTATTTTAGTTTAGGATCTTTATAGTTAAGCACTTAATTTTTTTAGTGTTATGTGCTAGAACATTCATAAAAGTAAAGTGAAAGATTAACATTTTTAGGATCTTTCTAGTTGAGGACTTAGCTTTCTCTTATAATATTGTTGATATGACCTATGGATGATGAATTTTATGGTGGCGGTTAGAGGAGCCTTGAGATGTGAGAGTTATCTTTAAGAGAATAATTATTGTATGTTTGACATTTTTTTTTTTGGAGATCAGAAGATTGGCCAAGAAGTTTGGTATGAATTTTGATATAGATGTCTAGAATTATAATTAGTTTCAATAGTGTGCATCGAACTTATTGCCAATTGTGTGTATTGAAGTTTAGAGTGAAGACATATGAGAAAGTCTATAGATGTTGGCCTTAATATTGATGGTTTGCACCAAAATTATAGGCAATGGCCTTTGCAATTGGGTTGATTAGCCTTATAGGCGATGACACATGTCTACATTAGTGTAATAGGGATGATAAAGTTGGTGGGTAATGATATTTATGTTGAAATTGTATATCGGCCTTATAAACGATAATATGCATCAACATTGTTAGAGAAAAAGTTAGTGAGATCGAGATAGCAGTTAAACAACTATAGTTGGGTGACGATGTTTGGGAAATCATAGTTAAGCATGAGTGGTTAGGAGGCTGTGGTTGAGTAACAGCGACTATTGGCAACAATCATCTATGCGATTGTTGAGTAGACTCTCTCCAAGTCCAAATCTAAGTCTAAGTCCAAGTTTAAACCCTATTTCATATGGGGAACTGGGGTATATTTATAATTTTTACAAGTGATATTTTAGTAACATTAGCTTAATTCTTAAAATATTTTATATGTAAACTCAAATTGATTCCCTCAATTATATATCTTTTTTTCTCCAGAATTTAAATGCATTAATGACCTCAAAATATAGTGATTTTAGATTTATTGGATACCTTTTAGAGATGGCCATTTTGACCATAAACATCTAAGATTCAGAGATTATTTGTTCATTTAACTAATATCATGAGGTTTTTAGCTATATTTTAAGTGCTAAATCATATCAGTACACTTTTGAAATCATAGTTTGAAGGATTCTTAATTTAATTTCATAACTTTTCAATACAAAGATTGCAATAAGATTCATTCTTATTCAAATGAATTTTCTAATGACATATCACTTAAGGTGTCTTTCAGCTTTCATGTTAAGACTTAAGCCAATATATGTGAAATCCAATTTTTGGAATAGCTTTTAGTTTCTAATTTTTTTTAATTGTGAAAAATCTGCTTTTTTTTAGCAAAATATCATCCAAAAATCTTTAAAAGTGGTTTCCTTGCCTAATTGAATGCATTTTTAGCGAGGGTTTCACCGCATACATAAATATTTGAAAATTTCATCAAAAATCCAATGGATTTTGACCCTTTTGATGAATTCTCTCATTAAAAAAAAGAGTTTTCTTATAGTCCTTGTTTAATCCATGATGACAATCAAGCATAATACTCATACAATATTGATGTAAATTGAGCAATTCATAGTTTATTTTCAACTTCTTATTTGAAACTGATTTTGCATATATGCATTTTTTCCAATAGAGCACTCTATTATGTATATCATAATATTTTTTTTATAAGGATAATCATACTCATAGTTAAATGAAGGCGATGACACACTCCATTAAATATAATTTGGCTTTTTAAATTTATAATCTTTACTATATTAAAGTGCATTTAATAATGCTTTATGCATTTTTTATTAATTTTTATAGGCACTATTTAAGAATGCTCATATGAAGCATCAATTGATTACAAGATTTGAACTATTTCATTGAAACTTCCAATTTCTTATACTAAATATGCATCAATTTTAATTCATATTGAATATATCTTGTGATTATTTGAGGATTTTGTATGAGGTGATAAAGATAATTTAGTTTGTGTGAGAGACAAGCTATAAGTTTGGTGTTGATAGTTAGTTTGGGTCATATATATGTTATGATTGAGGTCCTTGGACAATCCACCAGTTTAGAGTTGGTCATTAAGGCCAAGAAGACTATTAGGTGTTCAAATGCATTGGCAGTGCCTCAACCTAGGATGGGATGTTGAGATCAAGATCATTGGATATCCCAACCCTAAATTTAAACAAGAATCAATGACATGTTAGGTTCAAACATCAAGACAAAGATTATTGAGCAATCTAATTGAAGAGGTTGAGCTTGCACTTATCAATTTTTCATATCCAATTAATGCTTTGAGTACTATTGTTATTAAAGCATTTTGCTTTGATTACTTCACTTTGCTCATCAATTTGCTAATGAAAATTAAAGAAAAAATAATTTTGATACAAAATTATTTTAAAAATGACTTCCAAAATAAATATTAAATCAAATATCCCTATTAAAAATTATTGTAGAAGATATACAATGCAATCTAATTATCTCCTTAGAAAAAGATCTTAGCAACATATGAGGCATCATTGGTATTATAACAAAGCAAAAACTGAGTTTGTTGCGTCCTGGAGTATTCGCGGCGGTAGAGAAATATAAAGTTTAACGTCTTAATGTTGTACAAAAATTCGACACGCAATCAGATAAGAGAGAGTGTCATTCATTAGAGAAACAAAGATTTTTTACGTGGAAAACCCCTGAAAAGGGGGAAAAATCACGAGGACTAGCCCAGTTTAAATGAGTCTATTAGTATTGTAGTTGATTACAAATGAGGCCCTTCCTTGGGGGAAGGCCTGAGCTTGATGTACATCTTATATAGTACATTATATGATCATAATACAAATAATCACTGATGATGTGTTTGTTTGGTCCGAAGGACTATAGTTGGTAGGCGTTGTAAGTCGGAATGACCGTAGTCGGCGGGCGATGGAGGTCGGAAGGACAGTAGTCGGCGAGCGACATAAGTCAGAAGGATTGTAGTCGGCGGACGACGGAGGTTGGAATGACTATAGTCGGCAGACGACGTAAATAGAAGGACCGTAGTCGGCGGGCGATGGAGGTTGGAAGGACTGTTGTCTGACGACGAAGGTCAGAAGGATGTCGTCAGGTAGACATCCTGCAATGGAGAGAAATCCAGCATCAGATAAATGTCCAATAAAAGTCCGACAATAGGCAGAAGTTCGATGTTGGGTAAAAACTTGGCGACGAATAGAGGTCCGGCGTCGGGTAGAAGTCTAACGCCAGTTGGAGACCGAGGAGAATTATGACGTTAGATGGTATTCGGGCAGACCTCCGGCGTCACTTGGAGGTCGGGCGAAATTCCGGCGTCACTTGGAGGTCGGACAGAATTATGGTGTCACTTGGACAAAATTCAAGCTGCGATAGTCGAGGAGGAGTTCTTCCCTCCTATCCTTCTTCTATTCTCCTTCTTCTCTTGCTTGGGCTCTTGCTCTCTCTTGCTTGAATTTTTATTGCGTCCTCCCACCTGACGTAGAGATGCATCCTCCCAACGCCAAAAAACTCGGTTTTTGCTCGGTATTGCTAGATATTATTTGGTAATAACGAGGAATATCATCATGTGAAGATCAATACCGAGCTATACCGAGCAATACAAAAAAATACATAGTTTTTCCTAGAGAAAACTCGGTGTGTGCTCGGTATTGCTCGGTATAGCTCGGTATAACTTCGTATTGGTCTTCACATGATGATATTCCTCGTTATTGCGGCGAGGTTCCCGCTCCCGCGCTCCGGCCAGGCTTCCCGCGCCCGCTCCGCGCGTCTGCGCACGCGGTGAGAATCGAACCGTGGATCTCCCGCGTAGATTTCAAGCGACCGACCGAAATTCCATTTATGCAAATACGTTACATTTGTCAATTTTATTTATTTAAATATATTCAGACCGAAAAGCAATTAATTATTTAAAGTTTTTTTTTTAAATAAAACTAATTAATTTAAAATAAAAAATAATATTTAATATAAAATAACAATTAACTAACTAATTAATTTTAAAATGATAATTAATTAAATAGTTAATATAAGTTTTAATTATTTTTTGTTAAATCATTTAAATAGTAATTTTTTTTTTTCATTTTCATTAATTTTTTAAAAGCCACCGGAAACGTGAAAAAGCCGCCGGAAATTCCGCCGGAAAATTACTTTGGAAAAAACCGTCGGAAATGCGTCGGAAAGCCGCCGGAAACGTGGCCGCCGGAAAGGCGCCGGAAAATTCCGCCGGTAATCAATGATTTTCCTGTAGTGGAGGACGCAATAATAATTCCTCTTGCTTGGCACCCTTCTCATGAGAAATGAGGGGACTATTTATAGATTTCTGGAGTGACATGACTTGTAAATAGAAGGAGGATCAAGGGCAAATGTGGAGTGGTTTGATGGACGACTGATATTGAATCCCTTGATCATGTACCGTTCGTCATACATTTGAAGGTCTTAATGATGTCAGAATTTGGGGATCTTGGGCTCGTTTGGATTCGTCTCGTCGAGCCGCTCGATTTGATTATAAGCTCGTCATTTTTGAAAACCGCTTGGGTACTTAAATTGTGGTTCGAACTTTCCAACAGCACTTCAGGTCCTTGATTTGGACTCATTTGGGCTCGGACTGAGGCGAATTTGGTGTCGTTGGGTTCGTATTTCCGAGACACTCAGTTTGACTATAAATTTGCTGAAATCGGAGTTCAGATGATCCCAAAATTAATTTTTGAAGTCTCCAACTTGATTTTGCCTCGAGATTCGTGCTCGATCAAGATAATTTTCGAGGATATATCAGAGTTAATCTTAAAAAATCCATAAAAAGATACACAATGCTTGCATAAAACATGAGAAGACGAGTTTATTAGATATTAAATTTGTAGTTTTAGCTTAATTAATTACATATGAAGAATTATGAAAGTAACGTCTTAGCATTACTCTTTAGTGCTAATCAATAAAATTTATTTTTAATGAAATATTTTTTTTTTGCTTAGTGATCATATATGCCTCTATAATATAACATATAAATAAAAAAATATTAAATATCTCAGTGATGATCTAAACAACTACTTCCCAATATATAATATCTATCAAGCATCATTCATGAACTCATCAAATAATAATTTATTTTCATGCACATTAATAAAATATGAAATTAATATTCATATTAATTTTATCAAATTTATAAATTTATAGTTCTAAGAAGAAATTGTTACAAATATATAAATTAAGTTAAAAATATATAAATTCTTAAATCAGATGAGAAAGTCATCAGTACCTTAATGCAAAAAATTTTCTCAGAACAAATATTATAATATATAAATTAAGATTTTATTTGAAACACTCTTTCTGTTATTTCTTAAACTAATTTTTTTAGTAAAAAAAATAATATTTATATAAAAAATTGCTTTAAAAACAGTAAAAGAAATCTGCCGAGAAGGTCATCTTCTTCCCGATTAACTTTAATCCAACCAACTCTTCGAATAAAAGTCCACATGGCCCCAACGACTCAGCCGGTCTTCGTGTCAGTTGCACCGGCAGAAATCCCACACACCCCAGAGAGGCACCTTCAATTACGGATTAATAAATATATGAATATATGATCCACCGCCGAAGTCGTCATAATTCACGAAAACCAACGGCTATTATCGCACACAAGACTCCCACCGCGACACCGCGAGACAGTTTATCCGACTCAGCCTTCCTCGAATCAAAGAGGCAAGAGCCACTGTTCCAGCAATCTCTCTAAGTTCTGTTCCACCTCGAAGGAGAACGCGCGCCGGAGTAAAGAGAAGAGAAGCCTCTCCTCCATGGATAGGGCTTGGGTTCTTCATTTATTTTTCTTCCTTAATCTCATCGTATTTTCTAATGCAGAGATAAAAAAACTAAAGATCAAGAGCGACTCACGCCCTATGATCCTATTCGAGAAGTTTGGATACACGCAGCGTGGATTCGTCGCAATCGCCGTCTCCGACGTCTCATTATCCTCTTCCTTATCCACTCCCGATCCCTCCCTATTCGGCTTCTTCCTTCTATCCGAGGAGGAACTGATCCAGGCCATCTACGAATCCCAGCAGCAAACCCCCAATTCTAACCCTAATTCCAATGGAGACAGCACTTGCGTTCTCTCCAAGCCATTCATCCACTTGCTCTTCACCTTCCGTGATCTTTACAAACCCTCGATGAATAACTACAACAACTCGTTCCCAATCACCCGCCCAGATGAATACAGTCTCTACTTCGCCAACTGTGCACCCGAAAGCCAGGTCTCCATGTCCGTTCGTACGGAGATGTACAATGTTCGTCCCGATGGCTCCCGCGACTTTCTCTCGGTTGGTCAAGCCCCGGTCCCGTCGATCTATTTCTTATTCGCTCTTTTCTACGCCATCTTCCTCGCCGTCTGGATCTATTTTTCCCTTTTTAAGAACCACCTCTCCGCCCACCGGATCCACCAGATCATGGCTGCCCTTCTCCTCGTAAAGGCCCTCAACCTCATTTTTGCTGCAGAGGACCAGCACTTTATCCGCCTTTCCGGCACGCCCCATGGATGGGATGTCCTGTTCTACCTCTTCCAGTTTCTAAAGGGGGTTCTCCTTTTTACAGTCATCATTCTTATCGGCACCGGCTGGTCTTTTCTTAAACCCTTTCTCCAGGACCGGGAAAAGAAAGTCCTCATGATTGTGATCCCACTACAGGTCGTTGCCAACATCGCATCTGTTGTGATTGGCGAGACTGGTCCGTTCATCCAGGGTTGGATCACCTGGAACCAGGCTTTCCTCCTCATTGACATTATCTGTTGTTTTGCAATCATATTCCCGATTGTGTGGTCTATCCGATCTCTCAGAGAGACTTCGAAGACTGATGGAAAGGCTGCGAGAAATCTTGCCAAGCTTACTCTTTTCCGGCAGTTCTACATTGTTTTGATCGGGTACTTGTACTTCACCAGGATTGTGGTATATGCGCTTAAGACAATTGCCTCGTATAGGTACAAATGGGTGAGCGTGGCAGCTGAGGAGATTGCCAGCCTTGCCTTCTATATCTTCATGTTCTATATGTTTAGGCCGGTGGAGAAAAACAAGTATTTTGTGCTCAACGAAGAGGAGGAGGAAGCAGCTCAGGCAGCTTTGAGAGATGACGAGTTTGAGCTTTGAGTTCATGTACGGTGGAGTTTGGACGTTGCCTGACTTGCAGGTTTGTTATATATCTTCTTTAACTAGCCTATTGTTTTAAAACACTGCCTTCCATGTGAGTTTTGTTATTTGCTTGAATTTGGGCATAGGAAAACTTTAGAACAAGTCCCATTTCATATCTCTAAGAGCCCATTTAAACTATATTTTTTATTACCGTATATATAAATGGATAATTTTTTGTAACATTGAACTAATTATGATGCAATTTTTGGTTTCTATTTTTCTCTGAACTCATTTCAATTGATATTTCGTTCTAATTTTTTGAGGTGGTATAAAGATCAACTTGACTACATATGCTGCCAAAAGAGGGGAAAAATCTTCTTTGCGGAGTGAAAGCTACTTTTGCGTTTGCAGTGCAAATTTATCTGGTTTTGCCAACCTATTTTGGACGTCTTAGATCTTCTGATAGTTGCGAGGGTTTTATGTTTTTTTTTTTTTATAATTGTGTAGGGATGCTTAAATATTAGTTTGTTTGACAATTATGTATTTTTTTAAAAATTTTGAAAATGATATTATTCCTTGTACTCGTGAGCTAGTTAGAGTTTCAATTCAGCATCTTCATGCCCATGCCACAAACCGTTGTTTATAATTCTTTCTGATAAGCTTGTATTTCTGTGGCATGTTGTTCAAACACTGATCCATCTGGAACAAACGGTGTGCAATTGCAGGCACCGGACCAATAACTTTTTTTGAGGAGCGTTCTTGGTGATTATTTGCAGTATTAAACTTGAGATATGTTAATTAGCCATCTCATTTTTTATACTTAATTAAAGAGGCTTTGATATAATTTGTTTATAATTTGGACATGCAAAGAAGTAAAAATGATTATATATTTCTAGACCGAAAGTTTTGGAAGCCTTGAATTATTAGTTAGTGAAATCAAAATTCCTGCTTCTTAAAATTAAATCAATTTTGGTTCTGTTTGGTTTAGTATTTTCTAGATAACAATGTGATTCAATCAGCAGTGTAATTGATTCAATTTCATGTTATTCAAACTAGCCAATATTATTTAGAATAACCTAGAGTGATTAATATTTTATTTATTCATTTTCTTCAGCCATGCGATGACCTATTAGCATTCAATTCGAGCACAGATTACGTCAGTGATAGTAGTATTAAAACCTTTTTATAAGATAATTTTGCACTACATCAGTAAAAATAAGAAACTAACAACCCATTTGATTGATTTATCTGAGAGAGAGGATGGCACCTTTTTCTGCTCTCCCTTGCTTTCATTAATGTGAGTTTGGAGGTAGAAAGAGAGCAATTTCACTCTCGAAGGGTGCTAAAATTTTATAAATTTTTTTTATTTAAGCCTAAGATATGAATTTTGAAGGATCTAGATATTACAGCTGGCAGAGTAGTTACAGATTTGATAGCTCAAGTTTATAAAACCAAAGGGCCTATGCACATTATCTAATGAATATTTAAATAGTTTAGTTTTTCTTTTTTTTGGAAATTGTTAGGATACCTTAGTAACTCATCAATGTTTTTAAACACACAAACAAAAATTTTTATAGTTCAATTACTATATTTAAAAATTCATGATAAATATGTAATGATTATGATTAATGAAGTAATTGTATTATGCTTAATGAATTTGTTTTTAATTCTTATTTCATTAGACTCATGGAATTGTTTACATAAGATTTTACATATTATATGATATGTTTTTGATTAAAAATAAATTCATTATAATTTTTAAAAAATATTAGATATTTCTTTCCCCACCGATGCAAAATAGTGAATGCTGGAACCACTGAGTTTTGAGCACACAGGGCCCCGATGTAAAGAAAAATTGCTTAGTAACTGCAAAAATCATAATTAGTAGTAAACTAACAATTAGAGGTTTTTCCGGGAATTTTTTTGGGAATTGTTTTAAATCTTTTTTTTTTTGGTGTTTTTCTGCTAATGAATAATCAAAATTTAAGGATTTTATAACAATTTTTGTGGAAAAAAATAATAATAAAATAAAATAAATCAAAAGTGCTTATCAAGGTAAAGTAGTTTGTGTTTCGAAACTTTGATAACTTTTCTCTTTCAATTTTTAGATGCTTATAATTTGGTTTTTATAATGTATTTCTCAATCTTTTATATTGTATAATTTGCTTGTAAAATTTTTAGGTGATAGCTATTTAGTTATAAAAGTACTTTGCCTTAGTTTTATTTGTGATACCAGGATTGTCCGAGTGGAGCTTGTGGGTATTTTAGTCATGAAATAACCAGTTGGTGCTCTTCACCCAGGGAATGAAGGTGTTTGACTTGTTTTTGCAAATTGTTTAGTGGAATCCCAGTCCATTGGAGTTTGGTTTGTGTTTACAAATGATTTTTGATTGCAAAGACAAACTATTTCATTTCCTTTCACATCAACTATGGCAGGCTAATTTGCAAATATGCTTTATACCTTAAATATGGCCTATTATTAAGACTATGACAAATTGACCTACCCCAACAAAGTCAAGGTATGTAATATGCAAAAAATCTATAACGTCCTAGTTTAAAATCTTGTAGGGTGGTTACTATTATATTTAAGGATCAAAGGTCCCAAGGTTTTAAATGAGACTTCAAAGGATTTCTATGAGGACTTAAAAGTCCAACTTGCTCTACGTGAATTTGAAGGTGGTATTCAATCTATCATTGTTGAATTATTTGAGATTAATTTAGGTTTGGTGGAGGATCCCTGACTTTAGTTGTTACTACCTGAGCATAATGTGACCTAACTAGGCTAATTACTCTCAGAGTTTCATGATTATTTTACCTGAAATTATAAGTAGATGTTAGTTGTCTTTGCTTATGTGATGCTTAACAAACTTGCCATCTTATCTTATATCATAGTTGCACTTTTTGTGTGTTTTACCTGCGCTTTAGTTGCGCTTTGACTATTCTTTTGTTGCGTTTTTTATTGCGCTTTAGTTGCACTTTGACTGCTCTTTTATTGCGCTTTGAATGCGCTTTACCTGCACTTTATTTGCGCTTTGGTTGTGCTTTTGTTGCGCTTGGCTTAAAATTCCACGGACATATTAAATATATAAAGTAAAAAATAAATTCAATTGAATATCCACGTGTCCACTCCACGTGTCGACATTTTATTGGAGTCCGGACCTATCTCTAAGTCCTACGTCCGCACCTAATAATTTTTCCTGAGATTGAAGGATGGGTAGTTGCCAAGATAAAGAAGTTTATAGATTTTGGTCTTATTTGGGAAGAATTATACTCTATATAGCTAACTAATGTTGTTCCTATTTGGAAGAAAAATGGGCAATGTTTTTGTATCGACTTTTGTAATATGAATGAAATATGTTCAAATGATGATTTTTTTAGCATATAGTGACACCTTTATCCTCTAGCTTGTTCTATTTTATGGTTGTCTCATCTTGATATAACCAAATATATATGACTTGAGAGGATGAACAATTCAGTGCATTTTGGACATCAGGGCATTTACACTAGGAACAAAGAGCTCTCCCCCCTTTTCCGCCCGACTCTTTGGTCTTCAGAATGCTGGTTTTAAGAACGAGTGATTGCCCTTCTCCGACCCTTACTGCCCAACCGGAGAGCGGACAGCTAATGCCTTCCACTTATTGAACAGGGTCTATGGTCGGTCCGTGACCCCTGGATGCCGAAGGCGTCCTATAAGATAATGCATTTTGGTCCAAAGAATGTTATTGCTACTTACAAATGAGCAATAATGTATTTATTCGGTGAACTTACCAAAAAAAGGTTGAGTATTAGGTCAATAATTTGGTGGTTAAAATTAAGCCAGTGTTTAATTGTCAGTCAAGTCTTTAGAGCTTTTAAAATTCTTAACCCAGTGTTTAATTCCATAATTAAATATATTCTTGAAGTAATCTTGATGAGAGTGCCTCAACGTAATAATGCTGAGGCAGCTGCATTCCTTAAGATTGTTAAAGAATTGGCAAGCTGAGTCGTTGAGCCTATTTCAATAATGATTCCGGATGGACAAATTTTGTAGCTGTCTCTTTCAAATGAGGAGATATCTTCTTCTTATTTCACTTTGTTGTATTTACAAGTCGTTGATGGTAGAACTTTGTTGGATTGACATGACTGGAGGGAAGCCTTTTTTAGATTGTTTGCCATATGAGAAACTTCATCTCTTTTCGTTTTCTGCTTCTCAAATTAAAAAGAAAATATGTTTTTGTCAATAGCATTTTTTTACTGACTCTCATTTCGCTGATTCTGGCTTTGAAGTTTAAGCAAAATAGAGGTTCAAAAGTTGTTGTGTGAGGTACATTTTGAATTGTGTAGGGCATGTTAGTCTAGATGCAAAATAAAGCTTAAAATTTAGCATGTTGGGTGTTATTGGCCTAAGATGACTTATGATTAAATAAATCATGTATGTTGATGTCATTAATGTTGTGTTAATGGTATTGACTTGCACCAACCTCTGAATCTACTCCATCTATTGGTGGTCTCTTGGTCTTTTGAGAGTTGGAGTACATATATTGTTGGTCTATGGCCATTATCATAATATGGTCATTGTTCAAATTGGTTGACGCAGTTTTTTGTTGGGAAGAAAAATACATAACGAAACAAACAAGAAAAGAAAATATTGAAAATGAACATCAGGATTTAACGTCGAAAAATTTGAAATCGGAAAAAATCATGGAGCCGCACCACAAAAAGATATTTACTATGAAAATTGAGAGAAATTGTACAAATATTTATTCTCACACTCCCACTTTGTCTCACTTCACTTATCTTTTCATGATTTTCAATACACCATAGGACGCAACCCTTCAAGTGATACAAGAAAAAGGAAGGAAAAAAATGCTAAGCCTGACTTGCTGCGCTAGGGTTTGGAGCATCACAACTCTTCAGTCTCTGTCTCTAGCCCGATCTTGGATCGTTGCAACGTTTTAGCATATAGCACTGTGGTGCTTGTACGAAAAAAAAATCGAGGGCAAGTTGCCCAAACCCTTAGCGCATAGCAATGCGGTATTTGTACAGGAATTTTTTTTTTCGAGGACAAGCCCCCAAACCCCAAGCAGGGGTGCATCACCCTCTTACAACTCCCGTGACGAGCTTGGCTAATAGTATTTAGGTTAAATACAATAATACAATAGGGTTGATCGACACAATCAAATTTCACACAAAGAAGGTTGGGAAATGTGCCGAAATTTTTTAGAAACAATATCACCTATAGACTTGGTGTTCCATCTTGAATTATATTTGATAATGGCATCAACTTCCAAAGTACAAAAATCAATTATTCTGTATGCCCGTTGTAATATCAATTGATTATATTTATCCATTTATTATTCTTGAGCAATTGATTTTGGCTGAGGCTTTTAATAACATATTTGTCCAATTGATTAGAAGCTCCTCATAAATCATAAGCGATAGTGGCGTGAAAAATTGATAGAAATTTTAAGGGCCTATTGGACTACTTATCTTACCACAATGTTTCATACACCAATTGCTCTTGCACTATAAGCTATTCTACTACATGAGATAGAGATTTCTTTATTATGAGTTTCCCTTAGTTGAATCATGACGAAGAGTACCCAACTAATACTGGAATAGTCTTTGAAGAATCATATATTGGCTCTATCATT